TATGAGCCATGGTGGAAGAACATTGCGAACAGCGATAGCGAATATGGGAGGCACTGGTCTGGTTTCTTTTGGTTAGAGAGAAAGCTGTCTAAACGCGACTTCGGACAGGCGCTCGATCGTGTGATCACGAGAGTGTGGTATCCCTCGGCTTCTGGGGATCTGGAGTTTCTGTATGATTAATGTGTCTTTTCTGGACTGGGCGGTAATGATTGCTACGAAAGTTTACAAGTTTATATGATATCGGCTCGATCAACAAGCATTCCTCACGCAATGAAGTTTCTTCTTCTCGCATGTAGGGATGAATTTCCACCAAGTGCTTTATCACAGATGAAGAAGTGCGCATGACAAACCCATGCGGCTTCCATCGTCTGTGAGCCTCACACATTGCACAGCCGTGCGCAACAGAACACGGGATGAGCACCTGGAAGTTGCCCGAGTTTGGTGGCATTTGATTCATCAGCCTTATGGGCTTAATTAGGCATTGTGCCTGTAAAAGTGTATGAGCACCTGGTGACAGACGTCCCTCTGTGAAATGTCTGTCACACGATGATGCGATTCGGAGGAAGCCAGTTGAAGGGGGGGAGGGGGGCCTGCCCACCATGAGGTGGAGGGGAGGGGGACGATTTTCCCGAGTTGTCGCTTAGGGTCCCCGGACGGGTAATGACATCATTGGCGCGACCCCTCCAACCCCCCTTCGTCATCCTTCGCATCATCATCACCACACCTCCAAAAGTTGAGAGAGAGCTTGTTCTATTGTACGAGACTGTGGTAAACAGGTGAGCTAGCCGCACAAACCGCCCACCAAACTATAATCCTCGACGTGCATCATTGCTACTATCTCTTAAGGATTTTCCTCTCACCACAAGATACTTGAGCTTACCATGAAGGCCCACGCCCAGAGTGGTGGGAAGCTGTCGTGGCCTGCCTCGCTCTCCCCGGCCCGAAGAAGACTAGAGCTTCGAGCTACGAGAGCTACCCGGGTTGTTTCCAACGTACTTTCACTCTCTTGAGTTTAGTTTCTCTCCTGTGATGTGGAATGCCGGCCTGCCAGCAAGCCCAAACTATGACATGAGTGTCTCACTCGGCCCTTTCCTTCATCCCGACTGTGCCGTCGCAAAGGCTTTCCTTCCCCCCATCCTTTCCTCCCCAAAGACCCCTTCTTAAAGTCAACGCAGGACCCTTGTCGCATCGCATCGCGGCTGTCGCATCTTACACTGCAACTTTCCTCTTGACGAACACCCTTTTCCTGCGCCGTGCCCCAATTGTTTGAACCAGACAGGCGCACCTGAGTCTTGGCTTCCAAGATCCTGTAGATACCCAGACCCAGCTTCTTACTCGTACACATAACACTCCACCGGGACCAGGTTTATTCCTTCCCACCTTATCCTGGTAGCTCATTCCTCTGAGCTTCGCGATATCATCAGAAGGTATAGCTTGGGTAACAGAGGTACTTTGCTCTGAAATCCAGACAACCGCCATCATGTAAGTGAGATCCGCTTCACACAACATCAGCCATCACCACATCAGCCAAAATGCGACGCTGGTTCTCCCCCCAAAATAGCGACGAGTGCCATGGCATCGCCATCAGCACGAAGCCCTTGAGCATTTCCGCTTCAGTGGTCCCCATCACGCCTCCTTCTACGTCTATACACAACCATACCCACCAAGCTCGAAGCCCTCGACTGACACGCTCACAGGAACCGATCACTCTCCATCAGATCCAACCACCGCCGCAACGGCTCCCAGAACAACGGCGCCTCCAAGCGCGCCGGTTTCTCCTTCAACTCCCTCCGCGGCAATGTCCAGCCCGAGCTCTCGCGCAAGCTCTACAAGATCATCAAGAGCGAGAACAACCTCATCAACGCCCACGAGACCGCCGGCCGCGAGCGTACCTCCATCGCCACCCAGCTGTCCGAGTGGGGCGAGCAGACCAACGACGCCGCCGTCTCGGACGTCTCGGACAAGGTTGGCGTCATCCTGAGCGAGCTTGGCGAGCAGGAGGAGCAGTATGCTCACTCCCTAGACGATGCCCGCGGTGTTTTGAAGCACATTCGCAACACGGAGAAGAGTGTGCAGCCGAGCCGCGATGGCAAGGATAAGATTGCCGACGAGATTGCCAAGCTCAAGATGAAGGAGCCCCAGAGCGCGAGGCTCGTAGTCCTCGAGCAGGAGCTTGTCCGCGCCGAGGCAGAGAATTTGGTCGCCGAAGCCCAACTGACGAATATCGTACGAAACCATCCCCTCTAGCCTCACACCGATCATTCGCTAACAAGAAGGACAGACTCGCCAGAAGCTCAAGGAAGCGTACGAAGCCGAGTTCGCAGCTACTATTGAGAGGGCCGAGAAGCAAATCATCCTTGCCAAGCACGGCCGACGGCTTCTTCACCTCCTCGATGATACCCCTGTTGTACCAGGCGACGAGCGTCCCACATATCACCACGCTCAACAGGCGCGACAGATTCTCAATGACGCCGAGGATGACCTGCGTGACTGGCGCCCAGAGCAGGACGACTTCAACGCTGCACCGTCCGAGTCCGTGTCTAACACCCGGGGCACCCAGGACGCGGTACACGACGAGGACGCTAAGATCGTGGCTGGCTCGGTCCCTGGTCACCAGGCAGTTTCGGAGAAGGACACCGATAGCATTGTGAGCAATGGAACCAGGCAGACCGAGTCTGTGGCTGCTCACTAGAGCGGTACGGGGATTCGTCGTGCGATGCTTTCCAGTTTGTATGAAGGATATCAGGACGGACAGGCTGGAGTTGGAGATGTTAATGCTTGTATGTAATACCATTCTTACGGCCGCGCTTTCATGGAATAAAGATAATTGAACGAATCACTTTCGATATTGAGAAGGTATTTTGTAGAGTGACCATATTCTAGTTTGTTCTATTTTTGGTTCCTCGTCCTAACTCGTTGTTCATGTCTTATCACCGCATTTTTGGGAGAGATCGCGCCTAGTATTTGTCTAACAACTCCCCAGTGTTGAGGGAACCACGGAGAAGAGAATTATTCTCGGCTTGGCTGGTCAAATGCATGAATGCCGTTCGTGAGAGATCAGTTGAGGTACGTTGGTATGTGAGGATGCAGGCAACAGCAGGCAGCCGACCCCGCTCTGTGTGACGCCCAACACGGTTCCATTGGAGAGGGACGAGGTTTATAAGTGGTGTGGTCGTCTGTACGCCACCACTCGCACGAGGGGTCTTTTTTGGCAACCATCACCTCCAATTATCATCTTTTTCATAAGAAGTTTTTTCTTTCGTTTCTACGAGGTATCGCCAAGAAAGAAGAAGAAGAAAAAATAACCATGGACTCAACCACGACGATTGACGTCTCGACGTACGACAACCAGCTCCAATGCCCGCTCTTTGGGACTTTACCGGGCGAGATCCGCAACGAGATCTTTGCGCTGGCGCTGGTGCAGGTCTCGGAGGAGGAGGGGGATACGGCGTACCCGAAGGACTCGTACTGGTATCGGCCTGGGTTCACGGGGCCTAGGAAGAGCAGTAGTAGTTTGCTGAGGGCGTGTAAGCTGGCGTATGTGGAGGGGCAGAAGGTGTTCTTGAGGGAGTTGGAGTGGGCTTTTTGGTTTGGTATGTTTTGTTTCCTCTTCGTTATTTCTTTCTTTTTTTTACTATTCCTCCTGTGCCCCTGTTTGGCCTCTGCACGAAGGTCTTTGCGGAGAATTTGATGTGGTTTGAGTTGTATGGTCAAGGAAACTAATATCGTGTATGAAATCTGCAGACCGCGGCCCGGAAGGAAGAACGAGAAACCACGCCTGCGAGAATTTCTTCTCCGCCCTGACGGAGCAACAGGCGCGCGACCTGACCAAGGTGCGCTTCTTTACGCAGATGTACTGGCTCGAAGACGGGCGGAACCTGGCGACGCTGTTTGCGCAGCCGAAATTCCGGCCCGAGGTGTTGACGATCACGGTGCGGTATTCGGACTGGTGGCACTGGGAGAGCGACGAGCCTTTGAGGATGAAGGAGGATTGGTTGCGGGGGTTCCGGGGGCCGAAGGGGTTGAGGGAGTTGAGGGTCGAGTATGAGACGCTTGTGGGGAAGAGGGAGGAGATGATGGGGATTGTGGGGAGGAATAAGGGGTGGAAGTTGGTCGTTGGAGGTGGTGGTGCTGGGAGGGATGATGGGAGGGGAGGGGGGGAAGGGGAGAGAGAGGATGGAGAGGAAGAGGAAGAAGGGTATTTGAGTGCCGAGGGGACGGAGCTGGTGGAGTGGACTTGGACGGGGGCGAGTAAACTCGGCGGGCAGACGTGGGCTCATCACGGGGAGGGGGATACGGTTGAGTATGTTGTTGTTATGGATACGTGGAGGTTTGTCGAGGGGAGGATGAGCGAGGAGGATCGGGCGAGGAGGGTGGAGAGCCGGCCGTTGTATTCTGGGTATGCTCATCCGCATTATTTCGGGTGGAGTGAGGATGAGGATGAAGAGGATGATGGTGAGGATGAGGATGAGGATGAACAGGATGATGATGGTGACGAGGAAGAGGGAGAGGATGACGAATAAGGGTATACCATGATCTGGCGGGTACGAATGGCTCCGGGTTGGTTGGAGGCTCTCAGGTGGATTTGTCTGCCGGACATGTCTTTCAAGATATGTGGTTGAGCATGCAACGATGATTATATGGCTAACAAGTATCTACGGGAACACAATTTGATACCTTTTTTTGGGGAGACTCCGAAGACAATTTCATGGGTCACACAACAACCAACCCACAATTATCAACCAGTTTCACCGCGCAAAGAGGGATCAGACTTCCCAGAGGTAGTCTATTGAACATATTTAAAGCGTACCAAGGAAAAGGGCGAGCCGATAAAAGGTCCCCCTATCTACTCATTTTGAGCTTTTACCCGCTAGGAAGTCTTGCGAACTTGAGCCTTTGGTAATGTCATTCTCATGATTGGTTTTGTTGAGCAGAAATCTAACACTTTGCCCCAGAAGACACTTGCTTATCTCAAACACAAGCCCATAAATCATGTTTCTCTAGACTACAATTGCCTTGATGTGGTTCGAACCACTCTTGGGAAACGCCCCGAAAAAGTCGGCATCAAAGGCGACATCGCGCTCATACAGCGTATCATGCAACGCTAGCTCGAAGCCAGCCGACGGAGCGAAGATACGTCCCAGAGTCAGATAGATTCCCATATTGGCCACGTCCATCCCCACGCAGCTGCGGGTCCCGCGGCCGTAGTTGTTGACGTACTTCCGAACGCGCTTCCTCTCACTCGGGTCAAGCCAACGTCCGGGCTCGAATCTGTGCGGATCCGGAAAGATGTTGGCGTCAAGGTAGATATCGTACGTGGAAACGGAAACGGTGACGCCCCGGGGTATCACCACGTCCCCATACTGAATCTCATTGTCCGGGTCAGTTCTGGGCAAGCGGCCAGCGATGGGGTTGTTTAGACGGAACGACTCCTGGACGACTGCGTGTAGGTAGTTTAGCTCCTTGAGCTCTTGGTACGTGGGGAGTCTGCCGAGTCTCTTTTCGCATTCTGCTAGCTCTTTGCGGAGCCGTGCGAGCTCGTTGGGGTGGCTTAGGAGCATAAAGGTCGCAAAGGCGATGGCTTGGCCTTCTGTGTCGATGCCCGCGTTGATGCAGAGCCAGACCTCGTTTACCACGCGCGTCAACTTTTTTTCGTGGGCTGGGAGGTTTGAGGCGAGAATGTGCTGGACGGTGGGTTTGAAGCTATCATTACCGCTGCCGACGCTACTAACAGTCTTTTCGCGTACATTTGTATTATTGGTCGTTGCAGCGCGATACTGATCTGTGACGGCCTGATCGATCATCTAAGCAGAGAAGCCACACACTTCATTTAGTCACGTGGAGGCTTCTTATTCATGCTGACGCCGATGATGATGATGAAGTAAACCACCTACGTTCCGGAATCGTAGAACACGAATCATTACAGGACTGACAGGCTCTGCGCGCTTGGCCCAGCGCGCAGGTGCTCGCATTACGGCAAAGAACCAGTGTCCGATGTGACGGCTGATCATGTTCATGCGACCCAAAGTCCTCGCAATCTTGAACATATCATTCTCAAAGTCCTCGACGTCGACGAACCCAAAGTCGTAGCCAAGGTTCGTGGTGCACGTCAGATCGATGGCGAGGCATCGAAAAGCATGGCCCACTAGAGATCATGGACAGGTCAGCGGGTCAGCAAAGTCACCAGGTACACACGCAAGACCTCTGACGATGGGGAGGTAGAGGTATAGGGAAATTGGGAGGGAGGGGGTTTGATTTACAGGTCAATACGGCGCCGGTGCCCTTGGCAGCGCGGAATCTCGCGAGTAATCTTTGGACCAGCGCCTCGTATAAGTGTTCGCGAGACATGACCAGAGGGGTGGCGAACACGGGCAGGATAGCCTCGCGGCGCATCCGATGTAGCTCATGAGGGCTGAGTAGAGGCACGGAAGAAAAAGGGGTCAGCATATACTCGTGAATGAGGACGACAGACGTCCATAAGGCAGTCTCACTTACCCGGCTTGTAGAACACTGTTCGGCGGACCATTGGAACGGTAATACCACCACGGCCTGGACGTCTTTCTCGAGATTTTGAAGGCTTCGGCGAACTCTGGATCCCGAATGTGCACTTCCCATGGGTTTATACGCACTATGGGGCCTGTATAGAGAGATAAGTTAACATATTGGAGTTGAACAAGTAACTCCGAATCACTTCGTCACTTACCTGATACATCATGCATGCGGTTGATCACAGCCCAGTATCGACCACCCCCATCTTTGAAAAAGTCGTAATAGAACTCGTAGCCGAACGTGAGAGCGGCCAATTTCGGCCCAGGGAAACGAGCAAGAGGGCTGGAGGATAACCTATAGATAACAATAGACACAACGTATGCCGCGGCCAACAGTAGACAAGCTATGAAGTATACCATCTTTGCATGCTATTACAAAGTCGCGATGAGAAGGGTCCAGGATCAGTGCTGGAACAGATATGGCAGCAGATGCTGACGTATACACTCTGTCACTATTAGGAATCGCACCCTCGTTTTTGAGGCTTGGTCTGGGAGCTTGAGGTGCTTCCCCAAGGAAGCCATGATGAGAATCGGGCTTCCAATTTCCCGTCCGTTGCCATCTTTGAAGCGACAATAGCCCGGCGTAACATTCCTCACCGCTTAGATAGAACCGTTCCAGTTCTTACCTTGAAATGCCAGAGGTCAGACTTTCTCTTGGCCGGTTCAGACCCGTTGAACGTGAGCTATCGCCGATGCAAAGTCAAAGCTTAGCAATCGCGTGCTCTCGAGTGGTCGTTCCCGTATACGTATTGAGGGAACCAGTCAGTGGAGTATCATCTTCGCAGTATTAAACCTCGTCTCTGAAGTATTCGAAGTATGCATGTAAGATGTTTGTGGAAAGTACAACTATCAGTTTCTACGACCTGACTCAGGGGATACCTTATTCAGCGGTTACGAATACTGGTGACTCTCATCTGTGTTGTATATACGAAGTACTTCATACCTCGCCGAAGTCTTTCTCGTTATTTCTGCTCGAGATACGATGAAGAGATGTGATCTAATCCGAATGCTAAACTTTGAAAACTTTGTCAACTGTGATCAACATCAGCTGAAGCCAAAATCCCACCCCACGCAGGGTGAAATAGTTGGTCGGCGAGTTTGACAGCATCGCCATGAATGTCGCCGGGGACGAACCGGAATGTAACATGGCCACACAAGCGGATCATGCCGAACGGGATGCAACTTGGCGATTACTAGCGCCTGAGGAGGCACGGTCCGACGGGAAGTATTGCTGTTCTTCATAATTCATTCAACTTACCTTTGACGTTGATGGGGTCCGAAACTCTAAAGAGGACCCCTAAGCAGTTCATCCAATGGCGATCTCCCGAATGCAGATTCAGGCATCTGCCGGTGGTATTTGCGGACTTAACTCTTTGTTCCGGGCCTCGATGCTGGTCACCCATAGGACGTTCTTGTTGATCACTGGTCCTCCTGCGATGAAGGGGCTCAGCCGTCTAAGTTTCAGGAGACTTTGAGAATGCTTCACCCCGAATCGAAGGTTGTTCCAGGCTTATTCTGTATCCCCTTGCAAATAATAGAGACAAGTTCCTGCGACCCTCATCAGAGCCCTGAAGAGAGGGGATTTCCATATTTCCCGATGGAGACTTCGGCGCCGGACTGACCGCTCTGGTGGGTTGAACGGTGCCGGCAAGGAGGACCTGCCTGTAGTGGGAAGCCTCCGTGTAAGCTTTGATTTGTGGGACACGCGGACTCAACCTGCATGAGACATCTTGTTCTTTGTCACTTACGGATATCCTACTCTCAATTTCTAGTGTGATGACAGGTGTGCTCTGCATCTTGGTGATTCTGGCTCCGAAGTTCTGAATGTAGATGATATCCTCTATAACAGTTATGTTGGTTCTAGCTTTCGAGGATGTCTGCAATTTGCTTGTCTCATTGCACTTCAACCACGTCTAATTTCTCTTCGTCGTTACGGTTGCCACACCTTTTGACACTTTGAAGAATTCTTTCTCTCCATAGAGTTGCACATCTAAATTGCAAACTCACAGGCGCGACCAGGCAAGACGTCCTGAATGCCATGGCTCGGTTCGTGACGAGTCACGCCGGCAAGGCCAAGAGCGGTGACATCGGCTCCGTCCCGCGCCTCATCAACCCGGCCGAAGCCCCCGGCATTCTCGGCGTCTTCACAGGCCAAGGCGCGCAGTGGGCCACCATGGGTCGCGGGCTCATGGCAGCATCTCCGGTCTTCCGACGCAGCCTCGAGGCACGTGAAGCCGTCCTATAACAGGGCTTACCCCAGGGCCACGGGCACGCGCCGGCTTGGTCTCTCATTGAGGAGCTTTGCAAGGATGCGGACATATCGCGCCTAGGCAAGGCTGAGCTGGCGCAACCGCTCTGTACAGCGTTGCAAATCGCCCAGATTGACATCTTGACTGCGTCAGGAATCTGTCTCGACGCCATTGTAGGCCATTCCTCAGGTGAGATCGCAGCGACCTACGCCGCCGGTCTCATCTCGCGCAAGGCCGCTATGCAAATCGCCTACTACCGCGGCTTCTACGCTCACCTAGCCCGCGCCGGCACAAAGGATGGCGGCGGCATGCTGGCGGTCGGCCTCTCGCTCGCAGCGGCCTCGGAGCTGTGCCGCCAACCGGCATTCGTTGGCCGCCTGGTGGTAGCCGCCAGCAACGCACCGCAAAGCTGCACGCTCTCTGGAGACCGGGACGCCATGGCCGGGACTAAGGAGCAGCTGGAGCGGGACAACATCTTTGCCCGTCCGCTGCTGCTCGACACGGCGTATCACTCGCATCACATGGCTGCATGTGCCGATGCCTATCTGCAGGCCCTCCTAGCTTGCGACATTTCCGTCAAGCCAGGGAAAGGAAGAGGGCGAGGGGCGTGCGTGTGGAGTTCCAGCGTCCGGGGCGACGCTCGCCTTGTTCGACGGGGCGGCGAGGCAGAGCTTCTTGCTGCGCTCAAGGGTCCATATTGGGTTGCCAACATGGTACAGATGGTCAAGTTCTCACAGGCGCTCGAGTTGGCCGTGTGGCACGGCGGACCATTTGACCTGGCCATCGAACTGGGGCCACATCCGGCTCTCAAGGGCCCCGTCGAGCAGACGCTCAAGGCGGCTTATGGTGCCGCGCCGCCGTATGCTAGTCTCCTCAAGCGCAAAGCAAGCGATGTAGCTGTCGTGCAAGAGGCCATCGGGTGCGTTTGGTCCCAGCTTGGACCGGCGCATGTCGATTTTAATGGTTTCCGCGGCATATGGAGTGAAAGCAATACGTCTATCATGACACCCAAGTTATTATTCGCGGATCTGCCCGGCTACACGTGGGATCACGACCGGGTATCTTGGCGTGAGTCGCGCATCTCGGGGCGGTACCGTACCCTCGCTGACACGGCACACGAGCTCTTGGGCCGACGGATGCCCGATGACAACGATCACGAGCTGCGGTGGCGCAACGTCCTGCGTGTGCGTGAAATCCCTTGGTTGAAGGGGCACGAGGTGCTTCGCGAGGTTCTGTTGCCCGGCGCCGCGTACGTCTCCATCGCAGCCCAGGCGGCGCAATACGTCGCCGGTTCTCGGCCCGTGGCTTCGCTGGCCGTGGAGGACGTTGACATTCTGCGGCCAGTGGTTGTGCCTGATAACACGGACGGAGTCGAAACAATGTTTACCGTGCAGGTGCTACCGGCGGCGGCTGATGACTGCAGTCCGAATAACAAGGCTGCCCAGGTTGTGCGTGCCAAGTTTGCGTACTACGTGTGTCCAAACGAGGTGACGGACGCCATGATGCTCACCTGTAGTGGTAACTTAGTCATCCTTCTCGGCCTCGCCGACTCCGGCAACGGCCCCACTTTGGCATCGGGTCCGGTGTTACCAGGCCGGGGGCCGATTCCGGACAACGCCGTTCATGTCGACGGCGAAGCCATCCACGAGATGTTTGGCCAGATCGGCCTTGGTTACCACGACGGATTTGCGGCCATGAAGAGCTGTGAGCGCGCCCTCGGCTACGCGGCCGCCACGGCAGTCTGGCCAGCCGATGCCAGCGTCGACACCTATGCCGATGCTGCGTCACCGGGACCAAGCAGCGGCTCCTACGTGCTACATCCAGTCATTTTGGACGTGGCTTTTCAAGCCTTGTTCGTCGCACACGCATACCCCGCGAGCCTATTGCTCGAGAGAGCGATGCTGCCGTCGCACATCGATCGCGTGCTGAGCCTACCGCGGTAGATTCATCACCATCAGCGTCGTCGTCCATCCACTTCCGCCACCACTCAGGCGGCATCAAGAGCCCCTTCTCGCAATTCCGCACACACATGGAGACCGTCTACGGCGGTGCGTCTGATGAGATTGACATGCAAGAATGGCTTGTCCGTGCTCCTCGACAGGGCCTGGACGCGCTTATTACTGCGTATACTGAGGCCCTGCTTGAGAGCGGGATGCCGCTGGTGTCGCCGTATCTCGGAGCAGACCTGGAGTGAATGAAGGCATAGGTTCTAGGGAATCTTTTCTTATTTCATTATGCTGGTATATATGGTATCGTGGGAGAATGTCGACTAGAGGTGTAAACAGTACTCTAGTCTGCTTCTATAACTCGTAGTTCAAGTTATAATTTTTCATTTGCCCTGTGATTTTATATCCCCATATTCTCTACAAGTTTGTTAATCGCGTTCATGTTCAGAACTTGACGCCGGAATGGCGTTGACTTGATGCAGGACCTATGGCTGCCACTCAAACGCTACTTCACAGACCTAATTATACTATTACTCAAGAACCAGCCTACGGTAAGAAAAATGCTCGAAGAAGCGGTACCAGCTGTGCAATGAAAGTTGAAATGATATCTTGCTCTTCATACTCGAAGTAGAAGAAATCATCTTGGCCATGACCACTCCGAGTGGGTTGAAATCGCAGTGAACCGATCAGCCCTATGCGCGAGGTGGAAATTCGATTGGCCGTCTCACCGACCACTTCAACCCTTCTTCTGGGAGTTGACAACTAAAGATTAAGTATTCAAGCAGGCGGTCCTCAAATTCGAGCGACTATGTTTTTCTTCTCGTTGATATAATATCATTGGGGGAAGTGGTGCGCTTGTTCAGCTATAAGATGGCGGACCTGCCGCCGCTGTCAAGTCCTACTAGAACATATTACCAGAACGGGAAGTCAGAAGTATCGCGGGGCACAGCTGAAGCCGCCAAGCCATGGAGCGGACAGTTTTTGAGTTGCCTAGTACATTTTGTCTTGCTTTTGGCTTCATGAGGGCTTTTTTGCTACGTCCTTTAGAGGTTGAGATGATTACGGAGGCCACGGGAGTCTCAGTCACATTGACTTGGCGAGGCAAGGTGGCTGATCGTTTTCCTTCTCAAGCCATCAGGTAGGGATGCAACGTTCGGATGAAGGGACGACTCCGATAGGAAGACAAGATCAAGCGGCAGTGAGACAACGCTCGCAGCCGCCCGAAAGGGATGGTTCGACGGGAGGGACCGCGACTAGCTTCCAACCAATGTTGCATTATTCTCCGAATGCACGACTACGGCTTACAGCCAAGTTCTTGGTTCAATCGTTTTTGGCAATATAGAGACACATAACGTGGGTCATAGGGATCCTGAGTTGGACTGATCAAAGCTGGCTAAATTGCTAATCATCACTATCCTCTTCGTAAAAGTGAGACATCTTGTCTGTCTGACGTGAGGCGGGCATACAACTATCCATTTCCCTGCAGAATGCTAGCACCGAGGAGCATTATATGCCATATCCTAAAATGCCTCTCTACTCTCAACCCCTTATGCATTTGGGAACCTTGATAATGCTGAGGAGGAACTCGAGACCTTACTGAAAGACAAGTTTACTCTCGTGCCACTTCGAACTTACAGAGTATCGCAGGTATCTAGGGCCTGGGCTGCAAGTCGCAACGACATAGATTTGCCTGTTTAGATCAAGTTAAATTCGAAATAATCAAAGGCAGAAGACATCTAGGGCTTACTGCCAGGTCATCTTGAGAGTCGATGGGATGTGAGTCTCTAATTTGCTTCCTCCATGTGGCCAGACAGTGTGAGGGAATCAAGCGAAGCATTTGCTGCCTGCATGGCTAAGTAAGAAGACAATGATTCCACAAGATGAGTCTCATTGATAGAGTATTGAAAATCTATAAAAGGTCCATACCGCTCCGAGTTATGACCTCGTGGTATCCTCTTCATCCTCTACCATCAAGACCAAGCAAGCAAATCACCACATCACCATCCCATCCAACCGTCATCACTTCCACTTCCACTTCCACCTCCAACACCCCCTTTCCACCCTCAAAATGCACTTCTTCAAACTCATCACCACCCTCGCCGCCGCCGTCTCGGTCTCGGCCATCGACATCCAGAAACACTTTGGCCAAAACTGCGGCGGCAACTTCCGCGTCTGCAGAGCCATCGACCCGAACCGATGCTGCGTCGGCGCCACGGCCGAGAGCGTCCTCTTCCGCTACATTCCGTCCAACTGGCGCATCGAGACCCGAGGCTACGACGGCGGCGACTGCCGCAACCGCCGTGCCACCATCCTCTCGGCCGGCGCCACGTCCGTCTGCATGCGCTCTGGCGGGTTCCTCTTCACCGGTGCCGGCTACGGCTTTGTGAACAGGAAGAGGGCGCCTCAGGAGGCCGGCGAGGAGACGTGTGCTGCCGCTGAAGGTGAGGGGCAGGAGCAGAAGTGCGAGTCTAGCCAGGAGCCTGATACTCTGGTTCTTGTTGACGGGTCCGAGTATAACCTTGTTGGTCTTGAGGCCGACAAGCTTGACAGACTGGTATGATATTTATACCCCAAGAGACCAATGACAGAGACACCGCTAACTCTCTGTTTAGTATGCGCTTCCACGAAACTTTTCCCTTTCATTCTGAACAACACGCAGATGATCTGTTATTCCGTTTTTAATCCTTCAAACATAGAATGATGTTGCTGACTGCTTCTTCACTATCTAGCTTCACCATTGCAGCCGATCCCAATGTCACTTCTGCCGCCGATATTCCTGACGAGTTCACGCCTCTGCGAAAGTAAAGAACGTACGAACCAACCAGCAATTACATCTATGGTGCTCAGGCGCTGACGCTGGTGATATGGAGGGGATAAAAAGTGGTAGGTGACGATGGTTGGTAACCCCAGCTGGAGATGTCAACTTGGCTGATTGGAAGGACGTGTGCTTATTGGATTTCTCTTCTTCTCTGTCAGATGAAAGGTCATGTCGTTCTTCTTTATGCTCTCAACATCGTTGAGTAGCATTGTCCACTCCTTGACTGAGAGGGCTCTGGCGCCGGATGTCCCTTTTAGACTAAAAGAATGACACGTGTTTTACTGATGAAGACCAATTGCTTATGATTGTGAAATATAAACTTTCAGCAATCCATCCTATCGAATATATTGAGTGTTTGGAGTTGAAGTTGGTAGGAGGTCGCTCTGTTTGCCGTATTTAGTAGAGCAGCTGATGGAGGAACGTTGGACAAACTGACTAGGTTATTATATAGCGAAGGGTGGGCGAATTTGATAAGGGGAAGCCAGAAATCGCCGGCTGAAGGCTGGAAACAGGCATAGGCTGATTCACGACTTAGTGCCTTGCTCTAGGTGTACCAGAACGAGTGGGAATCGAGTAAAGCAAGTTTGGCCAGGATAATTTCCATGCTCAAAGTGAATGTTATTAGAAAAGGCAAATGAGATTAGGTTGAGGTGTCATCAAGGTATCTGGTGTGATCAATTGCTTCTCAGCTTCTAATAGTTTTGACGCCTCTATTCCAGGCCCACCCACGTCTACACCGCAATCAAGCCAGGTAGCCGTAATGTACATGATCATCAAGCCTGGATTTCCCCTTTTACTTTTTGTTTTTGATTTCGTGACTCATATTCCCCTCCTTATCTGGTAAGGGCGATGTCGTCTATTCTGAGAATCATCTTCACCGTCTCAGCTGCCAACTCAATGGCGCTGGTGCTTACCAACAGAGGCTGGAGGACGTTCTCCTTGGAAATGTTGGTGTTGACACCGCCGGACTTGATACTGACACCTGCATTCTTCTCGCCGAGCTCATGTCTATGACGAAGCTCGGTGACGACCTTGATGCTGTTAAGTCCGGCATTCTCGGCCAGAGTGGTGGGGACAACCTCCAGAGCGTCGGCAAATGCCTTCCAGCAAATGGCCTCGGTGCCCGTCAATTCACGCGCGCGCTTGGAGAGCTGAGACGCGATCTCGATCTCAGCAGCACCACCACCGGCGATCAAAGCCTTCTTCTTCACCAAGCAACGAACAACGCAGTGGGCGTCGTGCAAACTGCGCTCGGCCTCGTCAAGAATGAGAGAATTGGCGCCGCGAACAACGACGGAGACAGTCTTGCCAGTGGCCTTGGCACCGGTCACCTTAACCATGCGAGCTCCGTTGGACTGAACCTCCTCGACGAGATCGGCTGATCCGAGCTTGTCCTCTGTAAATGAGTCGACATCAGCAATGGGCTTGCAGCCGGTAGACTTGCAGATGAACTCGATCTCATCACGCTCGATATCCTTCACGGCAAGAATGCCAAGCTTGGCGAGGAAGTGCAGGGACAGGTCGTTGACAGCATCGCGAAGAATGGACTTCTGGATGAAGAGAACGTTGCACTTGGCCTTCTTGATCTTCTTGACCATGTTGAGAAGGTAAAGACGCTCCTCCTTAACGATCTTATCCATCTGTCTGTAGTCGTTCACTTGGATGGTGTTTTCCATCTGTATTGGTCAGCAACAGCGGAAAAGGGGGCATCTGAGGGGTAGCCTTACATCGGGCTTGGGAGGGCTAAGCTGGAATTGAATAAGACCGATTCTGGCCTTCTCGATTCTTGCGGGACCACCAGCACCCTTGAGAACAGGCTGCGTCAAGATCAAGCCATCCGAAAGCTCGCTGTCCTCGATAGTTCCGCCAACCTTCTTGACAATTCTGATGTTCTTTAGGTCGACATTGTCTGCCGTCTTGAGGTCGATGGTCTTGACAACGGAGTTGACAGCCATGGGCCCGAGGATGTTGGAGTATTGCGACACAATCTTGGAGGAAAGAGATGTGTTGGCTGCCTGAAGCAGGGATGCTGTGTCGGTGAGGGAAATGGGTTGTGACATGTCGTGGAGAACCTCGACAGCTGCGGCAGCAGCTCTCTGGAAAGCCTCTGAGATGACGGAGGGGTGGATTCCTTTTGACAGCAGTCTGTCGGCGGCACCGAGCAAGCTGCCGCAAATGA